CTTATCACACAGGATCCACAAAAATTTAATTTGATCAAAGGGCTAATTGTAGAAGCTAAAACCATACAACTTCTTGAAAACAAGAAAAAATCTTTATGATGTTGGGATATGCAAAGATTTTTTAGGATACAAAAAGTATGAAGCATATTAATTGAATTTTCATTAAACTTAGAGCTTCCTTTTTGAAAAATACTAAGAAATAAAAAGGTAAACTACATAATGGGAGAAAATATTTACAATATACCAAATGTATTTGTATCCAGAATATATTTTAAAAACATTTAGACTTCCATAAGGAAACCAAAAACTCATTTTTAAAAATAGGACAAAGTTTGAACAGACACTTAACTGAAAAAGATATGTCAATGGTTATTAAGCACATAAAAAGATCTTCAACCTCATTAGTTATGAGGACACTGCAAATTAAGATCATAATGAAACACCATTACGGTTATAATTTTTGAAATGGAGAAGACATAAATACCAAATGTTGACAAGGATGTGGAGCTAACGTTGGTGGGAATATACAATAGTACAAACATTCTGGAAAAGCATTTGACAGTTTCTTTTTAAAGATAAACATACATCACCTATCATATTACCGTGCCATTCCATGCTAAATATTTACCTAAGAAAAATGAAAGCATATGTCCACACAATGATTTCGTTTTGAATGTTCACAGCAGTTTTATTTGGAACAAACACAATATTAAAAACAATTCAAATGTCCTTCAACGACTGAAAGGGTAAACAGATATTGTAGATTCATACACTGAAATAAGCTGGTATTAGCAATGAAAAGGAATGAACTAGTGGTATTACAGTGTGGATGAATCTCAAAACATTACACTAAAAGAATTCAGATATAAAAAAAAGTACATATGTGATTCCATCTATATGAAATTCTGTAATATGAAAAACTTAATCTGTAATGACAGAAAGCAGATTAGTGGCTGCCTGGATTTAGCAATAGGGTTAACCACAAAGAGACCAAAGGAACCTTTTGGATTGAAGAAAATCTTTGTCTTTATTGGGATGGTTTCATGGGTGTATACTCATTTGCCAAAACTCATTAAACTGTACACCTAACATAGTATATTTATTTCATATAAATTAACCTTAACAAAATTGATTTGAAAAGGTAAATGTTACAAGAAAAAAAATGGGGCACTTTTATTAGACTCTACCTGGAAAAACTAGAAGGCAAGGAAAACCCCGGTTCCTTCATTGAGGCTTTTTTAGTTGGAATCATGGTGATTGTGATCTTTCTTAATGTTTCTTTCATTGTCCTAAATGTTTATATTACTAAGAACTGACAAAGGCCAGATTAACTAATGATTAATACTATCGTGTAACCATCATAACAAATATTAATATCATCTGTGTCTGAATTTAAGCACTTGTCTGAAGATGTTCTGTCACACACTTACTTTTTATTACAGTCTTCTCAGCCACAACTTGAACAAGGTTTTGATACACCCACCTTTGCTAACGTCTGTGTTATGCTGGCAGCATAGAACCATTGTGTAATCTATCCCATCCCCTCTGAGTTACAATCATGAGTTACAAATGTTGAAGTGGCTTTATATTGATTTCAGTTCCCATTGTGTCGTCCACTATTAGGAAAGGTTTCTGGTTAACCACGCGTCATTTCTTAAATAAGCATAGGCTCTAGTTAACACCACCTCAGACCCTAGCGTTCACAGTGACCAGGTATGTAATTGAAAACATGAGCGTAATTGAAATTACACAATTTTTCATATTGCAAAAGACTTGGAACTATTCATTGAATCTGCTTTCTAAGAAGATAAAAGTTTTGGTTCTTTTTTGAGGAGGTTCCTTTTTCATAATCTAAAAGGAAGACTACCATGGTTTAAGTATTTCAAGGAATCAGGAAGTTATCAGAAATGTGTACAAGCCATGTGTATAAAAGATGTTCTCAGTGGCATTATTTTAAACAGCAAAAAAGTACAAGCAATCTAAATGTCCTAAAGGAGAGGATTAATTTTTAAATTGTTGTATGCTGAGAGTCTTATAGATTTTTTATTCATTTTTCAATTACAGTGGGCATACAATATTAATTTCAGGTGTACAGCATAGTGATTAGACATTTATATACTTTACAAAATGAACGTCCATTATACATCTGACACCATAGTTATTACAATATTATTAAAAGCATACTGTTTCCTATTTTTCTGATATGTTATTCATTAATACTAGCCTCATACTTACCAGCCATGATTTACTTGCCTTTTGTATCAGCTTGGTCATTGGGAGGCACTCTCACTTTGGCTTGTGTCCCTATGACAAGCCCATCTTGTTTTCCAAGCCTGTCCTTACTTTCTGGCTCCACAAGATGTTCTAAGCTCACCTTGTATTTTCCCTGCCCCGCCTTGGAATCAACAGTTGTCCAAGGAGTCTTACTTCTTTTATTGGTGAGCAGTATTTTTAGAACCCATGATCTGGATCACTTTTGCTTCTCGACCTTCTCAGTGGACAGGTAGGAGACAAGTGTGTACCTAACCCAGGTACGCACATTTCTATTTCCATAACTATCTAGATTTCAAACACACACATGAGTTCCAGTATCACAGGATTCATTCTCACCTTTCTCTTTTCCTTACTTGTAACTTCTTCTGCAGTGAGAAACCTGCAAATTATCATTGTCTGCAAAATATCTATTTATCTGTTCAACGCTGGTAAACACATAGTTTCAAAACTGCTAACCCTGTACCCCCATGAGAACAACTTACCAACTAGAAGACAGGTATCTCTAACAGCTATCTTTGGTCTAAGAGTACCCAAGAGAATTACAGAGTGACTTAGGACAGCTCCCTTATTTCCAATATCTTTCAATATGGTCATGTGATCCGTTCCTATATAGTTATCTTTGTCACAAACTACATTCTATCTGGTGTTGGAGGATAGCTCTATGGATATTCTGGACCACCAGAGAGATGAACAAGTGGGTCCTAGAGTAAATTAAGCCTGAAATATTGCTGAAGGCAAAAATGACAAAACTGAAGCTTCCCTATTTCAGGCAAATCATGAGAAGGCAAAGTTCTTTGGCAAAGACAATGGTGCTGGAAAAACAGAAAGCATGAGGAAAAGAGGAATACCAAGTATGAGATGGATTTACTCCATAAAAGAAGCCATAGGCATGAATTTATAGGAGCTGAACAAGGCTGCTGAGGACAAGACAGTGTGGACCTCACTCATTCATAGGGTCACCAGGAGTCGAAGCCAACTGAAGGGCACATAATGACAACCAATAAAAATCCCAAAAGACTCTTAAAAACCTAAACCAAATGTCAGCAAATCTACTCTTTAATATGAGTAGATTTCTGTCTTAAACAACAGAGCAAAACCCGCCTTGGTTCTCTCTCAGAGCTCATTTGCTCCCATTTTACTTGCAATCCTGTTCGGCTTCATGACTTTTCCCAGTTGATTATACGTTAAAAACTGGAGAGAAAGGAGAGGCTGGACAGGAAGAAATGACAAAAAGGAAGACAAAATCTACAAAAGGTAAATAAATATAAGACCTAAGAAAAATAGCCAAAATATTCAGTAGTCACAGGTAGTAATCAACAAGCCTGAAGAGGCTCAAGGCACATTTCCTAAGGAAGCAGGATCTGAAGCATCTCAGTGAAGCAGAGAAGCAGCAGGGCAGGTACAGGAAGGAGAGAGGCAAGGATGGAAGCAGAGGAAGTAAAAAGTGAGCGTGGCCGGAGCACCGCATGGCAGCAGGAGAAAATAGAACCAGAGAGCCTCTAGGCAAACCAAGGAAAGTGATCTTACCCTCAGGCGATAAGGAGCAAGTGAGAGGGGTATTTTCGGATAGCTCTAGAAGCAGAGGGGCTGCTATTTCCTTTTCTCTGTAATGTATGAATTATATAGAATGGAAGAATGCTTCTGAACTTTTCTGATAAATGCCACGACCCACCATTCCCAGACATCTTTTAGAAGGGTGTCACAGCTGGGAATCACTATTACTTCTGAACCCTCTCCAACCAAGATTTTGTCTAGCTTTAAATTCTGTACTTTGTGTTGTCTAAAAGAGATTTTTGTTTTGTTTTCAAATATGAATTGTAATATTCAATGTGTTCAAATATCTCACCTCCTTCTTAACCCTCACTTCCATCCTCCTTGAGAACAACGGGCTAAAGGAGCCCCAAAGTTAAAAACACTAGGATTTCTAGTATTACTTAATTACACACACACACACACACACACACACACACACACACACACAGTGTTTTCGTGCTGGGGTCCTTGTGGAACTCCTCACTCCTCTCGGGTGGAACCAGTTATCTCACGACCATCGAAGATGCCCCATAACACTCACTGTATTACTAGGAGTGAGGGTCTCCACCGCGCCAGGCCCCTCAGCCTGCGGACCTCTAGCAGAATGCCGCACTTAACCGAGTACAAAGTCTTTTCCTTCGGCAGTAGATATGGTGCCTACTAAGAAACAACACTTCCCACGTGCCGGAAGAACAAACTCCTCCTCGCCCAATCCCTAGCCTCACGGCCCCTCCTCCTCCCTCTCCTCACCTGCTGTTTCCGCGGCGCCAACTCCACCCCCACCCCCGCCCCAGCCACCGCCCACTTTCCGCCTTCGGCAGCGGATAACCAGGGTAGGGATCCCAGAGCCCAGCCCGAGTCATGTGGCACCGCGGTCACGTGCTGAGCGGGGTCAGGCC